CTGAGGTGGGGAGGACGAGGACGAGGACGAGGACGACGACGAGAACGACGAGGACAAGGACGAAAAGGAAAAGGACGAGGACGTGGACCAGGACGAGGACGAGGACAATGAGGACGACAAGGACGACGACGACGACGACGGCGACGACGACGACGACGACGGAGGAACCAATGTTGTGTTGCATCCTCGGGGGGACCTTGCCTGTCCCGTCGCGGCCCTATCCGCGTCGAAACCGTGTCGGATCCATGTCGGACTCCTCGAATCCGTTTCGAAACAGCGTCGGCTCCACCCCGAATCCGCGTCGAGTCCGCATCGAGCCCGCGTCGGGCACAAGAGAAGACACCAGTGAATGATTGGGACAGGCGAAGCCCCCCGAATATGCAATGTAAGAAGTGGCGCAGAGATTGACTACAGCAGCCATTACGACCCCGGTTTCCCCCAAGGCGATCACGGGCATGATCGGGGGGGCGGACGTCGCGCCACGGCGGGCAGCCACTCCGACGTTGGCTGCAGGTAATCTTGCGCGCGAAACGTCTGAAAGCGATCAGCAAATTGTGCCGTCAACTGCTCTGGGGCCTCGTCACTCGCACGTGCGAAGGGGGCTCGGCAATTCTGCGCAGTGCTGGGGTCATGCGCATACTCGGCTCCATGGAGGAGCTCTCTTGCCTCGTCGTCCTCAAAATGCGAGAAGACAAGCAGAGATGTTGGGTAGAGCCCGTGCTCTGGTATGCTGACCTGTGCTGGGTATGCTGCCCTCCACCTACCGTATCCAGGCTGTTTCTGCCTTTCGTTGTCAGCAACTTCTTGATGTGCGAGCTGTATGGCATGATCTGGGTCCTATACTGCACCGTGCAAGTGGCAAGCTGCATCTGGGAGAGTCAAAGGCTAGATGGTCTCTCAGTAGCCGTTTCCCTGGAAATTGCACCGAACATGCTTTGCCAATGTGTCCCTTCCCCATGAGTCGTTCAACCATGTGTACTGCACTGTAGAGGTTACGTACGATATGTTGTCTGAGCCCTTTCCTGCATTTGCCCTGCACTCCACGCCACGTGCATTTGAGGTCTGGTAGGGGCGGAGGTTGGAAAAAGATAGGGCAGCGTGGGTCTGTCGCTGGCAATGGCACGCCCGCTGGCCGAACAAGCTGAAAAAGAAGTGTCCTGAGAATGCTGCGCTAGGGCGATCCGCCCCTTAGCTGCTGCGTCGGCTGCGACCGCTGCGTTGACCGATCCACGGCATTTAGCTAGGGATCCAGCAATATGAGATTCCGAGGAGCCGGACTCGTTGATAAGGCCAGGGAAGGCCCTGAAAGCATGGCGGGTAGATCAGAGCCAATTGAGATCGAAAAGAACACGATGGAACCACGAATCCCTGGCGACCGATGCCGATCGCAAAGCGTGCGCAACTAAGCCTCGGAAAGCAGGGGCCCCGTGGCGCAGTGACCTTCCCGAGAGCCGGAGTCGGTGAGCCCAGAGTGCTGTGGTGAGGTCAGCGCGTTGGGCTAGAGCTAAGACGTAAGCATCAGGAGCTGGATGGTCATCGCCAGCGCTGCGGCTTAATTGACAGTAGGTAGCCACCATCAGGCGTTGCACGTGAGCATGCTGCGCCGAAGATAGATCTGGCCAAGTGCCCGCGTTGAATAGCAGCCCTGAGCACACCGGTGCGTCGGTGAAGCGCAGGGCGGCCTCCTGGGGAAGCGAGCGCGCTGCTGAAAAGATGCGCTTGCGCAACTGCTGCCTGGATGCACGTACTGAGTTTCTCGATGCGCGAGCTCAAGTCCGATAGATCCCACTTCGCCAAGTACTGTACCCAGATGTGTGCATTGTCTGGCAGCCCTGACATTGAGGTCCCCAAGGAGCGCAGTGGAGACCTGGAAGATACCTTGCATGGGGCCCCACATGACCTTTTTAGCGCGTCTGGAGCCAGGCCCCCGTAGTCGCAGGAGGGTCTCTGTCTCGCCGGCGGGGAAGTTAAGGCGTGAGCCTCTGCGGACAAAACTTGTTGCTACAGCTGCTGCGACTCTTGGTGCTGCTTCCAGCAACGACTGAGCCTTGCCAATGACAACGAAAGTGCCGTCGTCAAATAAATAGACTTCGATGCCTCCACTGAGTGTGTCTGGTCTGTCCGGAAGCTGTGCTGAAAAAGATGAGTGCACACAAATGGGTACGCCGAGATCCAACTCAAGATCCGACAGGGACTGTCTCGCTGCTGTTACATATGCGGACATGACAAAGTTGAAGATGATGTCTCCGAGTTGCTGCCCTGGGAACACTCCTGCCAGACTGTAAGCAATAGATGTGGCCCCATGGAAACCAGAACCAAGATCCATGATAGCCATCTGCTGCCAGTGCTTGCCCATGATGAGGGGCATGTGCCTGCTGCAGTAGGCTGGGACGCGTTGCTATATATCCTTCTAGATCGCCGATGGCCCTGGCCGCTCCAGGGAGGCCTGCTGCGCCAAGGATGATCCTTAGGTCCTCATCTGAGGTGCCCATGCGGAGCACGAGCTCCCTGATGGACTTGTGAGAGGCGGAAATGGAATTCATCATGAGGAATAATTCTGGTCGCTTTGATTATTTGGCTATCTCTTGGAAATCCGCCGACCCTGTCGGCGTGTGGAAGAGGCTTCTCCGTCTGTTCCCTCTTCGTCGTAATCGTCGTCGTTCCTTCCCCTTTCCCCACAGCGTCGTTGCTTCTACCCCTCTCCCAGGGCCTCCTCCTGAAGCGTATCAGTCCAAAGCGAAATTGAGCAACGTCGTAATTGAGTCGAAGGGAAGCCCCTTCCCTTTGATCCCTTCCCCGCCCGGGGGGGGGGTGGTCCTGGGGTGGGTCCCGGGGGGGTCCCGGGTTTTTACGCCGCCCCCCCGGGGAACCCGGAGCCCAAAAAAGCTCCAAGACGGGCCAAGAGTGCCCCAAAAGGCCCCCAAGACGATTCAAGAGGGCCCCGAATCGCCGAATGATCTGTCCAAGACGCCTTGACGGCCTCCAGACGGCCCAAGAGGCCTGCGAGACGCCCCAAGAGGCCTCCAGGACCGTTCCCACGAGAGCCCCAAGAGGCAAAAGTCATGGATTTCCCATACGTTTTTCAAGAATTTCGGCGTTCTCGCCTCTTCCGCTTCCCCACGCGCCAAGACGGCCCAAGAGGCCCCCAAAGTCGCCCCGAGACGGCCCAAGAGGCCTCCAAAAGAGTCCCCAAACGGCCCAAGAGTGCCCCAAGACGGCCCAAGACGCCTCCAAGACGGCACAAGAGGCCCCCAAGACGGTTCCAAGAGAGTGCCCAGACGGGGGACCCGAACGGACATTTCGAGCCCTCAGCCCCGAGAAGCCCCCAAGAGGCCCCCAGGAAGCCCAAAGAGGCCCCAAGAGGCTCCCAAGAGGCCCCCAGACATCCCCCCAGAGGCCCCTGAGAGCGCTCGGACGAAACCCCAAGAAGCACGTTTGAGGACTCAACCCACGTCAGCATCGTCGTCGTCGCTACCGCCGCCGCCGCCGTCGTCGTTCCCCTTCAGGGTCGGCGGCACCGGCCGTAAGGCCTTCGCAATACCTAAGCGCTAATGCTGCAAGATCAGCTCCTCTCCCTGAGATGCCTCCGCGCAGCGAGTCGCCCGCCATGGTGGGTAGTGCTCGCACCAAGGATTCACGTAGTAGCTGTCTGCATTTCTTCCCAATATGTAGAGAAAGCATTGCCGATCTGCGGTAGCTGCCCCCCCCCACCGCATGGGCTCCTCAATGCGAATGCAGCGTCTCGTGGTGACGGCATGGTAGTTTTGGCCAGCTGTGGGCCAAAGGCCACGAGGAGCTCTCCAGGGGCCCCGTCGAGGCTGGCAGCCGATCTCTTGGCTGACTTGCAGACCCGTTGAAACTCGCAGAGAAGTGAAAGAGAAGGCCTGTCGAGAGTCTAGGTCGTGGGTGAGGTCCGAAGGCAGGGCAGGCAGTAGGTTGAGGAGCCAGGCTGTAGCAACCTCTGGAACCACGATGCAAAACTCTTCGTCGGCGAAATGGCGAAGACATCTATTTGCGGCCTGTTGGTGATATGCTGCCGGCTGGCCGTTCTGTAGCTCTAGCGCGGGAAGTCTTGGAGGTTATGCCCATGGCCCTGGGCTTGCTAAAGGCTTCCTCATATGCATGTCTCGACCGCGCGCTGGAAACCTTCCCGGCGAGCTTCTCATGGCGCCCTTGCGCGTTCAGCGCAGTGGCCACTCTTGTGAGGGCTGTGGTGTGATATAGTAAAGGCTCGCGATGTGCCATGAAAAAATAGATGCAAGCCTGCGCGTGCATTCTGAGTACAGCGCACGTGCTCAAGACGGGCTGTGCGTCGTTGCAGCTTGTGTCGGCGCGTAGCTGGGGTAGGAGAGTAGGGGCCTGTCGTGGAGGTGGTAGAACTCCGCTGCGCCAGTGCGCAAGTAGGCGCAGCGTTCCCACTCTTGGTCGCGTCCCTCTGCTGGGTCGTTGCCGTAGCCTACCTTCCCAAGACAACGCGCCGGTAGTGGCTTCCACCAAATGGGCGATGCCCGAAGTGAGCAATGACCACGCGAAGCATTGATTGTAAGTCGGTCGGGGAACCTGGCGTTCGCCAAGTGCTTGGCGCTGCGCGCGCTCTGTGCGGCGACTCTGCGCAGCTGCTGTCCATTGCCAAACAAAGAAGACTAACCTTGTGCGCCGGATAATAATCCCACAGGGACAATAAAGTTCGGGGTCGCGGGGGGATTATAAATTTTGCCTACCGGAGGCCAGCATGTGGGAGGAGAAAGAGGTGATGTTAAGAGGAGGGGGAGGAGGAGGAGGAGGAGGAGGAGAAGGAGGAAAAAGAGGATGAGGAGGAGCAGGAGGAGAAAGAGGAGGAATAAGAGGAGGAAGAGGAGGAGGAGGAGGAGGAGGAAAACATCCAAAGTCCCAAACCTATTACATTAAATTTCGAATGAAACAATGGAACTTGAGATTTTCAGCTGATCGTGTGGGGTAGCTCATGTGCCTCGGTGGATAGTAAAACGCAGCGATTAAAC